TTCTTGTATATATAAGATAGCCGAGTCGGTGTACAGTTAGTGTTGGGTGTGGGACAGATGACTGTTTGTACTTGTGTATTGTCTGCAGTGCATGCGTTGCACGGTAAAAATACACGCGCCGGGTGTCCTGGTCGAATGGGAATTCTTGACTATCGATTCCCTCGCTGGCAAACTTTCATTGTGGTGGAATTTAAACGGGGCGGAGGTAATTGAAACGGGGCGCAACGATTGAAACAGGGGGGAGTTTTCCCAAACGGGGCGCGCGCGCCCCGTTTGCGCAACGTAGGGAGAACCCTGCGCTCTATAACTCGGCCCCTAATTGACCTAGCGCGACCAAACTTTGTATACTTACACATCTTGGGGAGAACACGGGGTGACGGGGGATACATGTAGTTGGCGACAACTGCCCTTTCTAGTTATAGTAAACCAGATGTAAATACAATAAGCCAATACCAGTTTTACGTTAAACAGGAGCATGCGCTATACAACTCCTGCACAGAGAAGTGTGCTATTTGTGCAGCTGATGTGCCTGTGCAGCAGCTTCGCGAGCACTACAAGGTGGCGCACAATGAAAAGGAAGAGGACGAGCTAGAGGTAATATTTACAGTAGAATAAAAATGATTACTCCATAGAACTTAGAAGAGTGATGTCCGATGATGCTGCATCACTAATTTGTTATGATATGTAAATTATGTTCTTAATTACTGGGACAATTTGAGTTGTTTAGTAATGATGATACCGGTAATTTGTTTACACTTAATTAGAGTAATTTCTCTCATTGCCCGTGATATGAAAATGGCTAAAGTGCATAATGGTAATTGTTCATACTCTTCACAAAGGATTCACTTCAAATCGCTCTAACATACAGGAAGGTCAGACATGCATGGACGAGTATCTAGCACGCCCACCTAAAAGAAAACTGCCGCACATAGACAGTGACTCGGACAGTTCATTGCCGGACCTGGTAAAAAACCTTGAGTTTCTGTGCATTTAGTAATCAGTGAAAGCATATGATACACATTTTATTCTATTTCAGGCATGAATATATTTTTCCTATTTGAAAACAGAGCACAACCACCTGGTCAATTAAATTGTCGTAAATTCTCTATATTAAAATCTATAGAACTATCATGTTTTAAGACCGTTAAAGGCAAGA